GGATTCTCACTCATAGCCCAACTTGATATTGGAATCATATTAGATTTGAGACATATGAATTAGAGATGGAGAAGGATTTGTTGTTTCCTTTTCTTTATTTTTATGTTGCCTATAAATATACATGGTCTATGTATATTTTAGGGGGTGATTTTTAATGAGAAGGAAAAAGGAATTTATTTTCTCTCTCTAGAAAATTAGGGTTTATGTTCTCATCTAATGGAGGCTCCCACAAGCTTAGTTTTCCAAGGTCATTCATGGAGGCTTATAAGTGATTCCTAAAGGCAAAACAATTACTAAGAAGATGGAGATCCAAGGAGAAGGTATCTTTCTAAGGGATCTACAATAAGTGAGAACACTCACTTTAGAGGAAAGATTTAAAGGTTTACTCAGACCTTTGATGTAAGTATTCAATCCATTAATTGAATGATACATCATATTTTTATTTTTGCATAAAACTTGTCTCTATGTGATGAATCAAGATCTATGAATCAAAATCCCTCGAAAAGTTTTTAAAACTAGCACGTTTCCCAAATAAATACCTGGTAAAGGATTGTCTCTGAGTGAGAGATTGAAGCGAGTGAGAGTGAGATATTGGGGTTTCAATCGAAAGCGGATAAAAAAAAAAAAAAAAAAAAAAGAAGAAGCAAAATTGGACTTCAATCTGATATCCTTTTTGTAACATAATAATGAACTTTAAATTTCAACACTGAGACAAATTAAGAATTCCATTGTAAATCCCTAATACTCAAATGGAAACTCAGAAAATTTTCAAAACAATCCGTGCTAACATTCATCCAACACGTAAAATTATATAAAAAAATTCCAGCTTCCAACCAAAGAAACCAACATGAATCCCAAGAAACTCTACCTGAGATGTGAGATGACCATCAGAGAGACCGATCAATGAATCAGATCTCACTTCTGAGTTGACCCGACGGGTGGGGCACCGAGTAGACTCTCTTGCTGCAACTAGAGCTCATAGAGCTGCTGTTCACGGTCCATCTCGATGATAAGTAGCAAGAAGAGGATGAGGTACGTCGTGCCGATGATCCAAGCGGCCTTTCCGGTGCTCTTCACCAGGCGTTTGGTTACGTAGGCTGCGTCCGACGTCGCTCGTTTGTTGTGGTATACAATCAGCGACTGCGAGATGGCGATCGAAACCCTAGATACGATCCCTTCGCCATCGCTGGTGAGAGAGAATCGTTTGCCCCCTGAGGTGCCATGAAAGAGAGAGAGTGTGTGTGTGTGTGTGTGTGTTAGGGCTAGATATTCGACTTGAGAGAGAGCAAAGATGTATATACTTAATAGTCAAAAACTACGTCGTTTATGAAGGTAGCATTTACTATTAGCGAATCATGGACGGTAAATTTACCGTCCCCAAAAGCCTTTTCAAATTTTTTTTTATTACAAAAAATTCACATTACCATGGCGCCATATTTCCCGCGAGCAGATTTATTTGGGAGAATTTTTTTTGGGCTTTAGAGACGGACCTATGAACTGTCCCCAAAAAGTAGTGTCTTTAGGGACAGTTTACCGTCCCAAAAGGCTATTTCTGATAATTTTTTTTTATTAAAAAAATTATAATTTCACTAAATTTGGCTCTAAATTTTGGCGCCACAGGCTTATTTTATTTTTTTGGTCTTTTAGGGATGGAAAGGGTAGGACTGTCCCCAAAAGGGGTCTTTTAGGGACGGAACTTTTAGGACTGTCCCTAAAAGGGGTATCATTAGGGATAATTTTTTTATTGTCCCTAAAGGACTGTCACCAATACCCTTAATTCTTGTAGTGTGGGCTGCCAAGCTCAGGGGCTACATATGTTGGATCATAAGAGGGTAGGGGCCCCAATGGAGTGAAATCAATGATGAGTTTATCTTTGTTGCTGAAAAAATGAGTGACAACACTTTTGTTTGCTAGTTTGGATGAAAGAGGAGAATGTGTCTTTGGTTTCATGTGTGGCTAATGAGAGTATGGAACTAACTGCCACTCTGAAGAGGTAGAGGGTTGATTAGGGTGAGGTGAGGTAGGACAAAGGTGAGTGGTGTGCCCAAATCACTGGCAAGATGAGCAAACAGGTGGGCAAAACTGGTATTCCACTCTGATAGTGGCCATTTTTCCTAAGTTAAGCTTCAACTTAATGGTGGAAGGGAAGGAGCTGTTCATCTCTTAGCAAAGTCTAGCAAATCTGGTTTTGGATTTACTCACTGTGAATTCATCAGCAAATAGTAGCTTGCCCACAACACTAACCACAAAGCTGAGCCCTGGTCCAGTCCAATAATGTGATGGGATTCCAAAGAATTTGACCCAAATAGGAATGGTAGTGATTTGCTGATCCACATTAAAGTCAGGATCCTCATTATTGAGGATAACAGGCTTGTTGGTAAAGAACCAAGGTCCCCCAGCAAGAATCAGGTTGCACATATCAGTTAACATTAAATGAAATTCAAATAATCCTTTAGTTGAGATTGTGACTTTTAAGAGCCCTTTGTTCTTCCATAGATTGTTAGTAATGGACTGCACCATCCCAAATGGGAGGCTCTTTTGCACAAAGAACCCAAGTAGGCTAGATTTCATTAAGGAAATACCTACAAATTCAATGTCAAGAGGAGAAATAAGGCACTCACCAGGAGTGGTATGATGATGGTAGCTTAGGGAGAGCTTGGGAGGTGAGTTCTTGACAACTGAAGCCCATGTGGCCTACAAAGGTGGTGGATATATTTGAAGTTGCAACCCTTAATCCTGAGTCGCATTAGGGCTGGTCAAAGGCTAAATTATGAGCAGGCGAGAATGTTGGATGATCAACGTGAGGATGAAGCTGCGAGAGGGTGAAGGAATGGCAGTGTTTGGTTGGTTGTGTAAGGCTGGAGAGGGGGTGTTTGGATCTTTGTGTAAATTTGAAATATGAGGGCTGGTATTAAGTTGAATAATGGGTAAAGAGGTGTTAGCTGCAGATGTACCAATGTGTAAAGGTAAAGTTGATGGAATGGGATTGTATTTTTGGTGCAAAGTAGTGTCAGTGCATGGGGGGATGTCAGACTGATGAGATGTGATGGGGGATTTGAATTTTGAAGGTGCAGCTTGCTGTTTGGTTTGGTGGATATAGGAGGAGCAGAAAGGGATGGCATCTTGGATGGAAGGTGTTGAGGGGGATTAGTTGTAGGATCAGTGGAAGGGTGAAGAGGCTCATGATCATTAAAGATATGTCTGTGGAGTGAGATTATCTCTTTATGCTGATTATCTCTTTATGTAGTTTAGCATTGCGTGAGTTTGCAACTCCCAGAAGGTCTCTAAGCCAATCGACCGCTTGTTGTAGCCTGGTCTGAGTTTCTCCATTCCTGAACTCAGCAATGGCCACTCTGAGTCAGTAGATTTCATCAATCATGGATTGCGTATCATTGATGTTAATACCATCAAGGATATTATGAGGATCATGAAGCTGGAAGTTGGTTAATGGACGCAGTCTAGCTTCTCTAATTTGCTTGATGGTAGGGGATTTAGGTGCTTGGGGGGAAAACAGTGGATTGGCTGGTGCTTTTGAGGGAGCAATGCAGGGTGTAATGGTGGTTTGGGTTTAGTAGGGGAAGATGGGGTTATAGAGGTAGATTGGCCATGGGGTGTGGGATCTCTGGGGGGCGAGATAGTAGTGCAAATGGTGGTTTGAGGTGGTTTGGGAGGTGGTTTTTGGGAGCTCTCATGGTTTTTTGAAAGCAAAAACTTTCCTCTAGCTCACATCTTGTCTAGTTGAATTATATGTAGGATTAATATACAGCCAAATCAGGAACTTACATTCCCTTTGGAGGGGGGAAGTATGTTGTGCCCTGGAAGAGACCTGGCTAAGCTTGAAGTTTCTGTTTTCCTTCATTATTATTTCCTAAACTACAAGTGAGTCCATATCTTTTATCTTTTTGTGTGTGTTAAAGAAGTGATCAGTCCGTTCTCATAAGTTTGTAACAAGTTGTACGTACTGTGAAATTTACCCCCAAAAAAAAAAAAAAAAAATTTGGTGGATTTATTTAAATTCTTGATAATTCTCTGTTTCTTTAGTATTTTTTTTCCCACAGTTGTACGTCTAACACTGCCGCATGACGAAAAAACATGAAATCCCTATGATTCCCTTCCACCCACCACTTTTCCAATTCCAAAACAAGCCTATATCACTCTTCAAGGAAGAATAAACCTAAAACCCTTTTTGAAATTAAAAAATAAAAAATAAAACAAAAACTTTATTGTGCTCAAGTACCCTCTTATTGATGACTACTTTTTTTTTGGGTAATTATTGACGACTACTTTCATCACGATTTGGTAGCACTTTAAAGTACAATTCGCCTTCAACAAATCTGATTCCAATCCGCTCCCCACCCTTGAGCCCTCTGTTTGTAATCAATCGGCCAACACCTAAAAGACGATAGCTACCTGATTCAAATTTGAGTTTAGGGTTTTTAAACTCCTTGACCATATCAATAATATCCCATAAATGAATTAATATTTATTGGTTGACGATCTTCTTGTAAGGACTTGAGCTCATTGTCCTTCAAGTCTTGCAAAAATTTCAGTCCTCACCTGTTCCGTAAATACATGCATCACTGGCAGACAGTGTTTTCTGTATTGGCCATTCCTCCTCCTGGCTAGTTCTGTTTGTTCCAATAAATTTTAAATATATATATGTGTGTGTGTGTGTGTGTGTGTGTTATTAATTGAAAAGATTTTGATTCCCATAATTTCACAGATATATGTATTAAATATTGAACATTTAATTCCTATATATTTCACATTTACCTGAAATCAATAATCAACAAAAATATGTTGCTTGCAGGTGCAACTTGGTTAGTACACTGTACATTTTTTTGATGCTTGTAATTATCATAGTTATAAACTTCAAATCCATTTTAGATTGTGAAAAAAGAAAGGCATTAATTTGGTAAATTGTCTATCTACTGTGTGTGTGTTTTTTTTAACAAGTGAAGACCATGCCAAACTCGAGCATAAAGAAGGCAAAAATGGAGTGTATGAAGACGTACCATTCAAATGATAATCATCACCATATACATTTTCAAATATACTTATCTCCCACAAGTAACAACTTCCACTCTCTCTCATTATTCCTCTTGTACATGAGAAAACCTTCCCTCTCTAGTCTAAAATAATTGTGTCCCACTAATAACAACTTTCCCACTTCTCATTATTAATTCCATTAATCTTACATCAAAACTACAATTTTCAACTAGTCTTCATTTATTTCTTCTCCACTTCTATCCACGTCTGGCTTCATGAAAGACATGATTATTGCACCAAATTAAACCTAATTCCGCAACATGATGAATCTTCCCTCACTAGGAAATACATTCGATCATTAAAAAATCTCTGTGGCCAGGACATGCATATCCATTAATGGGTAATATTTATTGCAGTCTATCATTGTATGAAAGAGTTGGTGCATGTGGATTTGATCATCGAAGACACTTGTTTGAAACTCAGGGAGTATAGAATAGACATCTTGAAATTGGGATCTGAGGAAATTTAGTTCAGAGTCAAATCTAACAAAAGGGTCATTTTGTTGGAAATTTTGAAAACACCTATTTTCTGGAGAAAATCGGAGGGATAGAGAGAGAGAGAGGGTAGCCAGCTATTCAACTTGGAAATCAAGGAAAGGAAAGGAGGAGACGTTTTCCAACAAACCTTCCCAATCACATTCTCCCATTCTTAAGTTTTCTCCTTGCCAATGATTTCCAAACCCAAACCTCATGTCTTCTACTTTGATGCTCTCAACATCATTGAATTGGTTGTTATTGATTTTCTTATCAAAGGAAGTGTAATCACTAGAAGCATTAGTACTCTCTAACATTGGAGGAAGAGAAAACGGATCACTATCTAACCCCACCAGACCTGGCTCTACAGTCCTATAATCCCCACCAAACCCATCATCCAAACCAACTTGTTCTAAGCACGTCGAGACATTAACTAAGCCAGGTGCACCGGTTAGGTCATGGCCATTGTCTAGCAGAGGGAAAGGGCACTCGAAGCGGCTGTTGGTGACCATTCCATGCATGGATGACAACGAAGACGAGGAAGATGAGTCCCTGCACATGGTCATGATGTTATTTTCATGCATGGACATGATGAACCCTCCCACCATGACATCTCTAGGCTCTGATAAATCAGTGCTGTTGTTTGGTGAGGATGTGGAAGTAGAAGTAGTAGTTGTAGTGTTGTTCTTCAGCCTTCTCTTGATTGTAGAATTCCAGAAATTCTTTATTTCATTGTCTGTCCTTCCTGGAAGACGTGCCGCGATTTGAGACCACCTGAATCATTCAACACTTGAAAATTTTAGAATGTAAGCAACAAAAGCAAGCAGATACAACAATAGGCTTAATTAATCTGCATGGAAGCTAATTAATTGAAGTCTACAGCTAAAACAAGCACTATTTGGCCTGTTAAGGCTTAAGATAAGCATATACTAATTGAATTTATTAAGATGTTCAGAATTGAATTAATTACAACTAATGATAAAATAGGCACATAAAATTTGGCCAAATAATACTAAGATTAATTAAGTTCAGCATTGAATTAAGCATTCATCAATATTCAATACTGATTGTGGACCCTTTAACTCTCGTGTGTCTTGTTCGGATTCTTTGAATCGGATAGCATATCACTACTCTTCTTAAATAGGTAAAAATTAATACATATTCAAATTTTGCATTTGAATATGTTAATGAGCTAAATATACATAGTCATGTGGTGGAAAAAAAAAAACATGATCGGTCTCATACTGCAATATGACGAAGATAAAAATTACTAGCATATAGTTACAAACTAGTCTTCCCATATATATATTTTTTTTTTCGGAAAGTAACTAGTCTTCCCATATTGTTCGAGAGTAGTGTATGACTATATGTTCCAAGCACTCACAAATATGTTCCAAGCACTCACAAAGTGAACTGTGTGTGTATATATATAGAGAGAGAGAGGACCTGTTGCCAAGAATGGAATGCAGATGAATGATGAGGTCTTCCTCTAGGGACGAAAAAGCCCCGCGTTTGAGATCAGGTCTCAAGTAATTAATCCAACGAAGACGACAGCTCTTGCCACACCTCTGCAGACCTGCATTCCTAGCAATGTCACTCCAACAGCCTTGACCGTTTCTTATCATGTAGTTCATGAGCTTCTCATCTTCTTCTGGTGACCACAAGCCCTTCCTAAGCTTCAAGCTCTTGTTATTGTTCACTTTCATGTCCACCACCTTCCCCATAATATTATTTGAATGATCAGCTAGCTTTCTCATTCCAATTAATGGAGCTTCTTAGATCTTCCAACTGTTTAATTCTTGATGGAGAGATAAGAGAAAGCTATGTACATGAATATAATGAGAGAGAGAGAGTAAGAGAGAGAGAGAGACTTCATGTTGTGGTAATCGTGATGATGATTGTGATGGTTGTGGGGTTTGCTTAGATTATGATTCTATGAATGTTGAGAGAGAGAGAGAGAGAGAGGGGCTTGGTGGATAGGTAGAGTGGAAAACGGACTGGAGGGGGACCTCACAGAGAGAGAGAGACAGAGATGGCTTGTCTTCTTGTCTTTGACTCTAACTTGTCTTTATCGATGCATTTTTCTTCACTCACAAGGTAATAATCATATCTGTATGACAATAAAACACATTTTGCTTCAACTTCACATAATCATTCATTTCTCCGTGTTTGTTGTGTACATACACTACTGTTATTATATTATATTATATATTAATAGTATTATAAGTATAGATTCTAGAGTTTGTATATGCACGTACCGAAGTACTTTTGCTACACTTTGCTAGCTAATTGTAAAATTGGTTATCTTGCATGGCACGCAATTTTTATATTACCCATTTTATTTATTTTGGTAATGAAAAATTAGCTCATTAGACAATAATTTATAACTCCCTAATATTTTAGGGACTTTGAATACATGAGCATTCATAAACACACATTATTTTAAGTTTAATTAGAATTTAAGAAGTACGGATACTTTTATAAGAGCGACTTATCCATATAGGATACCAATAATACGAGTTCGATATTTCTTAAACGTATTTATAATTTTAAAATATATTTTTTAATTTCTAACACACTTATTCGATATTTTCCAGATACTTAGACTCCGTATGTGATACTTCTCATATACGTAATACTTCATAACATATTTTTAATAAGTTTTAAATATTGAAATTTAACTTTTTCAACAATAATAACATAGTATAATGATTAAAAAAAGTTCAAAATTTATTAAGTGATAACTAGAAATACCAGCTTGTTTTTATGTGTTTTGAAATGAACTATGTCGTTATATTAATGATTGCATTTGGATTCACAATATTACATGAAATTGATATTAAAAAATATATTTTATATATAAAATATATATATATATATTTTGCCTTATCCCGCCATATATATATATTTCTGTTTTTTTTTTTTTAATTTATCATATCTGTACCCAGTATTCGTATACATACTTCCTTAGATTGTTTGTTATATAAAAATTAGAACCCACTTTTGTTGATTTTTGAATCAAAAGTAACCCACTTTTGTTGATTTTCGAATCAAAAATAAAAAAGTAAGTAGAACATTTTCAAACGCCTTACAGTACAATTGGTCGGTGCAGAGTGCAGACTAATTAGGAGAGAGTATATAAGATGTATGGAAGTTTCTTAGATTGTTTGCTGCATTAAAAACAAGAACAACATTTTAAGCATGTCTCTCATTTTTATTTATTTTTAATTAGTTGACACATTTTTGAAGCAAATTAATTACCTGCCGACAAATATAAAACATTCTCGAAATATATCATTCAAAATTGTATGCGCTGATATACTTACTACTTTCGAAAAATAAAAAATAAAAATAAACATAAAAAGATATACTTGACTACTGTCTAGGTCATGCCCTAACACCTATATATATATGTGTGTGAAAAGTTAACATATTGAAAAAAAATTTGATCTTTTATGCATAAATCATGATAAAATAAATATAATCATTTATGTCGTTGTTCCACATTTTATATAGATCACAAGTTCCTTTACAATTTCTTTGCGGTTCTGTTTTCAATTGCAATTTGTTTCCCAAGTCCAATTTATTTGAGGCAGTTAGAACCCAAATGAGAATAAGACTATATCCAGTCACGTCAATAAATAAATAATATTTCTCCGTCCCGTAATAAGTGTCAGATGACACTTATTATGGGATAGAGGGATTACAATTCTTCAAGTGATACAAAAAAGAAGAAAATAATGAGAAAAAGTTGCAAAACAGATACATAAAATTAGGCAGTAGTCTATATTTATTTATGGATGGCACTTATTACGGGACGGAGGGATTACAATTCTTCAAGTGATACAAAAAAGAAGAAAATAATGAGAAAAAGTTGCAAAACAGATACATAGAATTAGGCAGTAGTCTATATTTGTTTATGGATTCTGTTTCAAGTTCCCCAAACAATTAGGGTTTTTTTTCTTCTTCTTTTTTTTTTTTTTTTCCATTAATGGAAGTATAGAATCACGCCTTAGAATCAAATCTAATTGAAGAACTTATTATTGTTATTATTATTATTATTTTTTTTTTTTTTTTTGCAGTTCCAATTTCAATACACCAAATTCAAATTCCCAAACATAGCACTGGTGTAATTAAATTATTATTTTTTAACCATGTCCCAATCTATCATTACAAGAATTTGTTTGTCAATCTGAATATTCAAAAGTAATTTTAACCCGTGTGCATATCAAAACATCAAATTATGATTAGGTTTTAATATATAATTTCAAAATTAAAATAGAAGCACGCAGGTGCCGTGCTATATAACTTTCATTCTCAAATTGTTATTTATTTTTTTATGTTTGGAAGATAAAAACAAATGTATATTTGTCTAAAAATTTATGTACAGGCCCAAAAGGTTTGAGAGAGTGATTTAGCAGGCCCAAGAGAGCCGTAGCTACAGCCCAACATGTAAAGAACATGTGCACAAAATAACCCAAGCCCAAAAACTCAAAAAGTTCTTAAGAGAGTTGTTGTAGGTGATCTTGCTCTACTCTCATGCTTTGTTCAATACAAAGCTAGGAAGGAAGAGGCTGGAAGAAAAACTGGAAAGAATGAACAAACATTATTCCTTCGGTAGAGATGAGACGAGAAAACAAATGATTCCTCCTCAAATTTTCATCCCTCTAAATATAGATGGAAGATAGGAGAAAAGATAAGTAGGTATACTATAGAAGTTTTATATTATTGTATCATACTTCATAAATATTTTACAAATACTACAAATACAGTAAGTAATGTGTTTAATGGTAAAAACAATTTAAAAAACTCTCTTTCCTTTTATCTTACCAATCAAGGTAAATTGTCAATTTATTCCATTCTGTTTCATCCAATCGAACAAAAAGAAGAAAAACACAATCTATTCTCTAGGGATGTCCCATTTATCATTTCTTTTCTTTCTTCCATCCAATTTTGTTCATTCCTACCGAACAAAATATCAAAATATTCTATTTGAACTTTGTTTGAAGAGAGCATCAACCATCTATCAAGGCTTCAAGGCAATTAACCAGTGATATGAAATGTCCCTTGCAGTCAAATACAGATTGTATCCTGGGAGGATTTACATTTCACTCTCATTAGCTTACCTGGAACGTACAGAAACAAAATGGCTCATTAGCTCTGAGAACTTGGTTACCACCAAATGGGGCAATAGCTGAGCTAGTACAAGCCCTCCTCCCCAAAGGGATGGTTGGGTGTTCGAACCTCTTTGAAGGCATGTATGTGTGTGTATGCTTAACTTTTCGGGAAAAAAAAAAAAAAACTTAGTTACCAAATGATGCAAAGCCTTTGAGCATTCTTGTGTTTCTCTCATTCGAGTTGAAGTACACCAACAAAGGTAGCACTAAATTACTTACCAAAGTGGAACATATTTTGTAATTTTGTTTCCAGTAATAGGATGACCAGGAAGGGCTGCAACTTGGGCGGGCTAACCCAGCCCAACCCAAAAATTTTGAAATTGGGACTTATATTCACAAATCGGATTTATATTCAGGTTGGGTTTTGTCAAAACTCAGACAAATTCGGGTTGGGCTGCCCGAGCCCAACCCAAAACCCTTTTTTTTTTTCTCCTTTCTCTCTCCTCTCTCTTTCTCTATTTGCCGCTGTCCATGGGCAAAGCTTGAGAGTTAAGAGGAAGGCAAGCTTGAGAGTTGAGAGGGGGGGCTTAAATTTTTTTTTTTTTTTTCTCCTTTCTCTCTGCTCTCTCTTCTTTCTCTTTCTCTCTCAGCTTTTTCTTTCTCTTTCTCTTTCTCTTTCTGCCGCCGTCCATGGGCGAAGCTTGAGAGTTGAGAGACAGCGGCTGAAGCTTGCGAATGGCAAACCCAAACTGGAACAACAGGCGATGGAAGCTAAAAGATCTGGGTTTTGATTTTTTGAACAATCTGAAATGATATGTCAATCTGGTTTTTGATTTTTTGAACAATCTGAAATGATATGCCGATATGGGTTTTGAACTTTTGATTCTTGCAGACAGATAGATAAAACTGAAATATATGGGTTTTGAACTTCTGATTTTTGTAGATTTTGTAATTTGCAGTTGGAAAGAGAGAGAGAGAGAGAGGGCATGTTTTGAGAGAATGTAGATGGAGGCCACAGGGGAGGCTGAAATGATTTGCCCTAAAAATATTTTGTTTTTTTTTTTATAATAATATAGTCAAATATATAAAAAATAATATATATAAATTTCCAAAAAAAATTCAATCCGTCAACCCAACCCAACCCGTCCAAAAATATTCGGTCCGAATTATAATCATAACCCATGTTGAGTATAATTTGGGTTGGCCCAACCTAACTCACTTCAGGTTGACATTAGGTTGGGATTAGGCTGGATTGGGTCAGCCCAAGTTACAGCCCTATGACCAAGCAATAAGATCATTCTACCGAAAGGGATGAATTTATTGAAAGAAAGCCGCACTTTGATTGTGTGAGTAACGTGGTTCATAAGAATCATAAGTGGTTTGAAAGCCACGTACTTCGATTATGTGAGTTGTCAGGTACAACAACATTGTCTGGTTAGGAGCACAAGAAAAGGACTTTTTAGAGAGCACTAACAGCAGGAGCAAAAAGAGCAGCCAGAGCAAAGGAAGGATCTGGACAAGCTAGGATAAACAAACAGTGTGACTCTTCTTCTTCTGTTATTCGATCTTCACGAGCTTTGTAAAGATATATATGTATATATGTGGTTCAATGGCTATAAGTGTGTATCGTTTTACATATGTATATACAATATAAAATAATCAGTTAAAAGCATT